ATATAGTTTATAATGGGGGAAAAATTTTAAAAAAAGAAAAATAGACTTTTTGATCCCACTATATCTATGCTTTTAAACTTTTCTATAACCCTTTTTTTTATTTTTTTTTTTTATGTTTCCCATCTGATAGATTTGCTTAAGGATGACCTGAAAGCTTCAGTTGAATGTGCAAAGCTCATTGTGAAAACCGAAGGACTGAAATCATGGCAAGTATTCATTGCATATATCCTTGGGCACAACTGACAAAGCTTATTTGTCACATTAGCAAAGTTTGCTCGTCCCTTTAGAGATTCGGCCTCAAGCTCTGTCTATCATTGCATTATATCTAAATGTATTGATCTGACATGCATGTGCATTTTTGACATAATGCTAACATTGATCTTTGTGTCTGCAGGGACAGCTGGGATAGTTACTGTAATGGGCGTAAGATGTCACGCTGGGTGAAAGGTTGTGAGGAGCGCTAATAAGGCCTTGATTGCCTGCAGGAGCTTTAATTAGCTATAATGCCCTCAGATTATGTGCTAATGCATTTAAACTCTTGGTTGATATGACTTTTAAAAACTAAAAGACATTGTCATTATTAACATTTGTAACCTTGATCTTGAGATGTCAATTAAAACTCCTTCCCAAATTGTTAATAATTTGTGCTTTGCAGTGCTTTACAATCTCACTTTTGGCTAAAGCTTATGCAGCAGCAAATTGTGACAGGTAGTTTGTTTGATACTAGATAGTAGCGGTGGGCTTTTATTTAAATTGCTTTTATTAAAAATGGAATAATCTGTAATTGAAAACCCATACTGATTGAACAGTACTCTGAATATTGGACACGTCTCCCTCAATGTCTACGCTGATTTATGTCTCCTACATCCAATTTCAGGTGAATTAAATAAAACTGTATGAATTGTGGACACATACATATCACTGTTTAAAAAAAAATCGCTGAAATTCATGGTCGAAAAATAGCAGCTGTATTTGCCAGAACTTAAAAAAATTCAGTAGAATTTTGGGTTTTACAGATTGAACTGAGACAAAATTTATGGTTAAAAACAACATATAGCCTATTTCACTAACTGATATAATATTTATATACCTTACAAATTTTGTACCTTTATAAAACTACCAAGAAACAAATTGAGAAAGCCCTGTAGAAACCCTAAGGAATAAGAAAAAGCTTATGGTTTTTCACTGTAAACTAGGGTGATATGTTATTTTTCACTTCCAAAAACTCTAAATTTGTGTTGAAACAATTTTCACTCAGAAATTGCTAGTAAATTGCACAAATAATTACAAAGAAACATAAGTAACACATTGAATTAAATGTGAAATTTTGAAGTAAAAAGACTAAAATATTAGGCTAATTTCTTGTAAAAGGTACTCCGATAATCTGTTTTATCTACAATGAAAAATCATTTTTACAGTGTACTAAATATTGTTAGGCTGAGAATATCACTCACTGTTATGCTGAGAATATAATTTGTAATGCAAGTGTCATGCACACAAATACAAAACCATTATGGTAACACACAACACTTTATAATACAATATTAATATTACCGGTAATTTAGCAACATACTGTAAGATGTAACATAAACCCATAATGTATGTAACTAAATAGAAAAATCTAAGAACGTTTTTAACCATAAACTAAGATGACTTGCTTTTCACTTCCAAAAACTAAATTGAGCAGTATTTTACAGCAAAATTCAAGGTTTAATTTATCACAGTATTTCCACAGTATATGTGACCATGGACCACAAAACCAGTCATAAGGGTCACTTTTTCGAAATTGAGATTTATACATCATCTGAAAGCTGAAAAAATACACTTTCCACTGATGTACGGTTTGTTAGGATAGGACAATATTTGGCCGAGATACAACTATTTGAAAATCTGGAATCTGAGGGTGCAGAAAAATCTAAATATTGAGAAAATCGCCTTTAAAGTTGTCCAAATGAAGTTCTTAGCAATGCATATTACTAATCAAAAATTAAGTTTTGATATATTTACAGTAGGAAATTTACAAAATATCTTCATGGAACATGATCTAACATTAAAAAGCATGCCCAAAGAATGCTTGTTTTATTTGGATCCACATATGTGACCACAAAACCAGTCATAAGGGTCTTTTTTTTTTATTGAGATTTATACATCATCTGAAAGCTGAAAAAATACACTTTCCACTGATGTACGGTTTGTTAGGATAGGACAATATTTGGCCGAGATACAACTATTTGAAAATCTGGAATCTGAGGGTGCAGAAAAATCTAAATATTGAGAAAATCGCCTTTAAAATTGTCCAAATGAAGTTCTTAGCAATGAATATTACTAATCAAAAATTAAGTTTTAATATATTTACAGTAGGAAATTTACAAAATATCTTCATGGAACATGATCTTTACTTAATATCTTAATGATTTTTGGCATAAAAGAAAAATCGATAATTTTGACCCATACAATGTATTTTTGGCTATTGCTACAAATATACCCCAGCGACTTAAGACTGCTTTTGTGGTCCAGGGTCACATATAGTAAGCATTTTGTGTTTGTTTTACCACAGCATTTTTACACTCTTTAACATTAAATTGATTAATGAAGTCCATCCATCATTTTAAAACCCCACCTTAGTGCAATTATATATACTGATTTTCATGCCATAACGCCATTTATTAGTATTTGATGTCTTTGACATTTAGAAGACAGCTGATTTCCAGCTTGCGGGATGGGGTGAGGGTGAACCTCCCCATTTCCATCACTAACTAGCCATATTCCAGTTCTAATAGAGCGATGAAGAGCTGTTTGGATCTTGGTCGGGTGGAGAATGAGATGCTTGTGTTGTGTATCTATAATAGGCTAAAATCACCCCCCTCTCCAGATGGGAAAGGGTTTGCTTCTTTAATACTACCCTGTGCCTCCAGAGTAGTGATTACAGTCATATCTATAATTACCAGATCCTGAGTGTGTGACGTGAGTTCTCCTGTCGAAGCAGAGGACTGATTAGTTTAATTGACTCCGTAATCAGCAGTGTGCTTTAAAGACTATGCTGTCACTAATTGTAGGCCAGGGTAAATCGCATACAAAGTACCACATCTTTCGGTGTTAATGCGGTCCAGTTCATTTGTCTTATGTCTGGCTCCAACTCTGCCTGCCAGCTGGACCCCCTGAAAGCTTTCTGATCTCGTGTCTATTTAAATTCATGGCCACAACCATGTTTCTCATAAACAAATACAAATGGTGTAATTGCCAGTAGGACATATGTAGGAATGAGCTTTGATCTGTGTGTGTAAGGTATTTTTTCTTGCAAAAGAAACTTGCAAACGTGTTTGAGGAGCAGAGATAAATATGTTAATTCTTTGTATGTGAATACAAGATAATACTGTTCATATTCAATATCTGCTAATCACACTGAGAGTTGTTTAGCGATTAGAACCTACATACAGCTTTTTGGTCCGTGATGAATCACAAAACAGATTTCAAAATAAATCCAGTAACTCAAAAGACTTTTGAATTCTTGTTTTTGTTTGTGATTAAGCATTTATGTGGTGCTACAAAGAAATGGGATGATTATAGAGCCATAAAAACATACTAAAACATCTTCACAATTAAATATTTTTAATCCATTTGTACAAGTCTAATTCCTGTCTCAAAAATATAAAAAAGTATTAACAGCACATTTTAAATTCAAACACATGATATTACCCACTCTCACAGAAACACATCTTCCTGTACAACCAGATGTCTAACTGACTAATTTCGGTATCTGATACAATATTACTATGATGCAAACCAGTTTAATACTTTTTAGCATTGATATTTTCTATATGCAGTACTATAAAAGATGATATTCACATGCAAAAAACTGCATATATAACAGTGGCAGCTTAAATCAGCTTCGCAGTCACATCATACAAAAAATATGTAAAAATTTTTCACGAATTCATCTTTTTTTCTTTATGACAACATCCTCATAAGCTGCAGAGCAGAACAGTCACTATATTAGCCAATGATTCTGGTCATTTAAAGAATGATCGCATATGTTTCAAAATAAATCCTATGCTACTAAATAATCAATTGTACGCACGTGAACCATCATTGGCAATACATGAGAAATGTTTGAGATTAAATAGGCCTCTCATTTCTTGAATGAGACACAAATTACTCTAATTCTCCAAAAACCTTTTGAGGCCATCTTTTTATGCTCTTTTAGTGTTTCATTTCTTTACTGTGTCACTAGCTTCAGTTTGTGTGACCCTATTTGCTGTCAGAAGGAACTCTTAATTCATAGGCGGAGGGTGAACCAACTCCAGGGTAAGGCTAAAAGCAGCCAAATGTATTAAATAGTGCTGAGTCGTTCTTGAACGATTCGTTCATTTTGAACGAATCTTTAATGTGACTTGGGAAGAACGAGTCGTCTCGGGGAGTGATTCGTTCAGTCGCGCATGCGCAACATCCTATAGGTTCTGTACT